ACGAGAGGGATCCTCCTCCTGGAATATACCGTTAAGTGGATGTACACCACTGCATGCAGATACATACACTTAACCATTATAGGCACCCAGATCACTTTAGCTCAATGAAGTGGTCTGGGTGCCAGGTCCCTCTAGTTTTAACCCTGCAGCTGAAAACATAGCAGTTTCAGAGAAACTGCTATGTTTCACTGAGGGTTAATACAGCCTCTAGTAGCTGTCTCACTGACAGCCGCTAGAGGCGCTTCCGCGATTCTCACTGTGAAAATCATGGGTGGTGTGAATGCGCTGGTAGGTGCTGAAGGGGTTTTAACCACACACACACACTCTCACGAACAGATGCATACACATTTACTGACAGACACACACTCAGTGACAGATATACATACACACTCACTTACAAAACATACACTCTCACTGACAAACACACACTCACTAACAGACACCAAACAGACTCACTAACACGCTCAGTAACAGACAAACACAGTAACACACTCACTGACACACACTAACACACACTGACCCTCACTAGCAGACACACACAACACGCAGAGTAACACACACACACACAAAACTAACACTCACTGACACTAGCAGACACACACTCAATAACAGACACACAAACACACAACTAACACACACGCACAAAACTAACACTCACTGACACTAGCAGACACACACTCAATAACAGACACACAAACACACAACTAACACACTCACACACTTACACACATATACACACACTCATATTTAAAAAAAAAATAATAATCCTCCAGCCTCCCCCACAGACACACACTCACTCACTGACAGCTGAGGGGATTCCTTGGGGTCCAGTGACCGGCGAGGGAGCACTGATCCTCCTGTTCAGCTCCCCCGTGCGCTGCGTATTGATGCCAGAGCCGGAATGACGTCATATTCCATCAGTGCGGTACGCACGTGGGAGCTGGGCAGAGAACGCTCAGGGGAGAATGTGAAACAAATGGCACAAAAATGCCTATCAGTATGCTGAACACGGATTGGTTCATTTTGGCTTGTCTAAATCATGTTTTACCAATATTTTGCATAGACAATATTCAGAGAAACTGAACCGCCGCATGTAAGACCATCATGACTAACCAAAGTAAATGTTATTTTATTTTTGACAAAGTGATTTGGCCAAACAGAATTTTTCTTTTATGCAAAAGTCCAAGAAATACTAATCATATGTGTGTATGACATCAGACAATTGAATGCTTGGCAATATGTTGTGTGAGGATTTATTACTTTACAAGTGAATGAGAAGCCATGGGGTTTTTTTGAATTAGAGAACTTAATTTATGGTTTTGTCAAATTACACAAACTGGGAAATGCCTATTAAGAGGTGGATTCTTGGACATAGAAAACATGGGGATAGAGCTAAAGTTACATAGTTACAGCCTGTAATGCCACTGCCAGCATCGGGGGGCCCTGAGATGGCCAGCTCCTGGGCCCCCCGGGAGAAGAGGCTGGCAAACTTGCGTACATACCCGGTCCCAGCTGCGACCCCTGCGACCATGGTATGTACGCTAGTGCTATAGAGTAAGTGGATGTAGAGAAACTGAGTGGAAACCAATTACCACCAGTGATAGTAGTGAAGCGCTAAAAAACATCACTTATGTAATTAATATACAGCAATTTTGGAATGAATATACAGCAGTTTTCTAGATAAATAAGGAAACACAATATAGTGTAGTATTTTAGTTAAAGCCAATGTGAGTGTAAATATAATTGATATGCACTCACATTGGTTAGAGCCAGATAAGGACAGGCTCAGATCTCATGAGCAGATGTGTTCTAAGGGGACACGGGCCCTCTTCAGTCTTTGTCTGTAATGGCTCAATGGGAGATATAAAACAAATAACAAAAGCAGCTGATGGTGAAGTACAGTTTGAAAAGTGTGAATAATTATAAGTGAATAGAAACCTTGCTCACCTGGTTCAGAGCCAATTGGGCCTGGTTCTGGAAGAAACAGCTTGTGTGTCTCTATAAGGTGGACACTTTCCTTCTTTGGTCCAGAAAGCAGTGGAAATGGAGAAGCACATTATAGGCACCCAGATCACTTTAGCTCAATGAAGTGGTCTGGGTGCCAGGTCCCTCTAGTTTTAACCCTGCAGCTGAAAACATAGCAGTTTCAGAGAAACTGCTATGTTTCACTGAGGGTTAATACAGCCTCTAGTAGCTGTCTCACTGACAGCCGCTAGAGGCGCTTCCGCGATTCTCACTGTGAAAATAAAAAAAATAAATAAAAAAAATTACATTTATTAAACAAAAGTGCAATATATATCATATATAAAATAAAAGATAAAAAAGTCTAAAGTGCTACAGTCCTGCTGAGACACGTTCTGTGGCTTTTTCAATTGGTGCCTGCTTCCTTCAAATGTCCTCTTTTAAATCCTTAACCTTTACCTTATTGGTCTCTTGGTCAGAAATGTGTCCAATCATGGATGTTCTATTTGGGTGTGTATGTCACAGCTGACTTTCATCTATACTTGATGACTAAGGGAGTGATGCGGTAGTTGTTCCTGTCACTTCCATTATGGTTCATTTCGCCATTTTGGTTGAGGGCATGTTAAGGGAAAAAATAAATAAAAAACATTGTGTAAACCCGAAAACTGGAAGTGACGTGTCAGTCCTGAAGCTGCATCACTTCCTGGTTACGATTTACTTGTTTTGTCCATGGTGATTAAGAGTCCAATAGAAGTTGTATTTAAAAGAAAGGTGGGGCTGAGAGCATAGTGGCATCGGCCCACAGAGAGAACATAAGCAGTATCAGATTTACAGTTTGTTAAGAAATGTGAATTAAAATTTTAATTGGTATTAAAAAACTAGTATATAAATATTAAACTTGCAAATAATATATAAATATAAGACCCAACATTTATTTTCCAAAACAGATAATTACAGTTCAGATTGTCAAGGAACATATTCATATAAATTGACATAAAATAATTTTATAAAAAATGGCAGAGTTCGAAGTCATTATTAAGTCCATCTTAATCCATTTTATTTCAGTCCGCTCCATTTTTCTAATCATATCCTCGCCTCTCCAATCTAGCACTACTTTTTGAATACCAATGAATTCTGTACCTCTAGATTATGTTTAATTTTGTCCGTTCTACATAAAACAGGCCACAGGGACATTTAATCAAGTATATCACTCTTGTTGAGTGGCATGTAATAACCTGTTTAATGTGAAAAATGTCTTTTTGTGTAGAGTTTTTAACCAGACGTTTATGATTCCCGGTGTTTTTGCATGCGCCACTTCTGAATCGTTTGGATTCTTTGAAGAATTGGGTGGTTCCTTTGGTCTTAAAGTGACTATGTACTAGATTAGTTTTCAAATTGGGTACAACTCTATATACAATACAAGTCTTATCTGGTCGTATTTAACTTAAAAATGTCATCATTCCTTAAAATCAGCCAATATTTATTAAAAAAAATAATAATTTTAGTATCAGAACTTTGACAGTTAAAATCACATATAAAACAACCTACGCACTGCCCTCACATAACGCACAAGCACAAAGTCGAATAAACCAAATCAAAGGCATTAACGCTATGCTATAAAGCATGGCAGGAGGCTAAACCATCTAAACCCCAGCCGCATAGGGCTCAGTGGGAATCAGACTGTGGCGTAACACTGACTGATGAGGAATGGTTACGGGCCCTAAACGGTTTATCCAAATGGACCCGTTGCTTCTCCCACATAGAAGCCCACAGGAAACTTATGTACCAATGGTACATGACCCCCCAGAGACTCCAACACATATTTCCCACTACACCATCCACCTGTTGGAGGTGGGCTCACTACTACAAGTGTGGTGGTCCAGTAAAGATATACAACCATTATGGACAATGGCACGTTCTGTTTTAGACACATTAGAAATCCCGGACTTCCCTATGACCGTACCTATTTGTCTAATGCTACTACTACCTACTCACCTAAACTCAGGCGAAAAACAGGTTACGGCGTTAATATTCATGGCTGCTAGGAACCTTCTAGCACAAAAGTGGAAAACCACCGAATGCCCCTCCATGCCCCAACTAATAGATAAAACCCACCAATTCTATACATATGAAAAGATGAACTTAGCACACAAACAATCTACATTCGAGGAGGCTTGGAGAGTATGGGAAAAATAATATGGAAGACGGAACAAAAGGACCACAAGTGTGGAACTATACCTCCGCACCGCAACACAAACCTAAACAACCATCTACCTTAAAATACACTCGATTACCCTTCGATTACCCTTCAACCAACTATCCCTGTTCAACTATAACTAGTTATACCCCTACACCACCGATACCTTAAATACATCAACACAAGTTCAGACCAGAGACTATGTAAATAACCGATACCAGACATACCCCTGTAACAAAGAATGGTCATAGACACTTACTGCTAATAATACAAAATCAATGAAACAGCTACCCAGTCGATGACTGGTCGGTTGATGTTATTGTTGTGATATATTGAATACCACCAATGTCATAAAATCTTAAGAATGTTGTTAATTGCTTGTGATATCTAACGGATCGCCTATTTTTTGAAAAAAATCACAAATAAAAGCTGATTGTCATTTCCAGTGTCTGTATTTATTTTATCTTGATATAGTGTCTCTCTTTCCCTGTTAGTGACCTCCTGGTGTTCTTGTTGTAATAAGCTGTCCTTTAACCCTTTCTCTTTCAAAATCTTAAAAAAAAATCTGGGATTGTTCTTGGAATTTAGTTTTGTCTGTACAGTGAGTTATGGGGACCAGGGGACCACAGAGGAACAGGACAATGACAATGACAGTGACAGAGAAGTGGTCAACATGGATCTTAGCGAATGTGATCCCGATGAATTCTTGTGCAACAGAGAACTATTTGATTTATTGGAGACGTTTGAAGTCTTAAATGACGACGATGTTAACTTTGTCTTAAAAGTTACAGAGATATTTGGGAGTGCTTTAGTAAAAACCACAAGAAACGTGAAGAAGAGCAAAAACAAAAGAGTTGGCTAAAACAGAGACCAGGGACCCACCACATCAGTCATCTGAACAGTCTGACGGGACTACCAAAAATCCAGACATTCAGATGGATTACAATGCAAACCAGAGGTTTGACAGACAGGATGTCACTGAAACAAGACCTGCTATTACAAGTGAACAGCCATCCAATATGCCTAACGAATCTGGAACTAATGATGACAAAAAAAAACAACTGTCTTCTGATTCACTTATTAAGAAAGGTTCTGTGTTGTCCTCTCAACAATTATTAAACATGATTGAAGAATTGAAAGCAAAGTTCATCCAAATAAAACAGGTCCCTGACTTCAAGTTTAACAAACAATCTACCACAGCAAGGTTTCCGTTGCATACTAGTCAGCCATCTAATACTCAAGAAGAATTAAAAACAAATTCCAACCAACGAAAACCAGCTCCTGAATCCAAGTTTAACAAATGATCTACCACAGAACCAATGTCTCAATTGCTCACTAGTCAGCCATCTAATACTCTAGAAGAATTGAAAACAAATTCCAACCAACGAAAACCAGCTCCTGAATCCAAGTTTAACAAACGATCTACCACAGAACCAAGGTCTCAATTGCTCACTAGTCAGCCATCTAATACTCTAGAAGAATTGAAAACAAATCAAAACCAGAGAAAACAGGCCCCTGACTCCAAGTTTAACAAACAATCTACCACAGAACCAAGGTCTCAGTTGCACACTAGTCAGCCATCTAATACTCAAGAAGAATATGGAACAAATAAGAACAAAAAACACCAGTTCTGTGATTCACATATTAAGAAAGGTTCTGTGTTGCCCTCTCAACAACTATCAAACATGCTTGAAGAAAAACAAATTTCAACAAAAGAAAACAGGCTCTTGATTCCAAGTTTAACAAAAGACCTACCACAGAACCAGGATCTCAGTTGCACACTAGTCAGACATCTAATACTCTAGAAGAATATGGAACTAACTACAACCAAAAGAAAATGTTCCCCCTTTCACAGTTTGACAAGGGTGCCACTGGTGAAGCCAGGCCACAGTTAGCCACCAGGCAGCCATATGACACACGTGAAGGATATGGAACAAATTCTAAGCAAAATAAATCGTTTCCTGAGACCCAGTTAAACAGAGGGCGACTATCCGATAAACAAGAAGAACAAAGAAATTACACCCAAAATAAACCAATTTCTGAGACCCAGCTTCAAAGAGGAACTACTAGGGAACCTCTGCTTCCCAGTGGTCCGCCTTCCAATAAACACAAAGTTGCAGAATATGGAAAAAATTACAACCAAAATAAACAATTTCCAGAGATGCAGTTTAGCAAAGGCTCTAATAGGGAATCTAAAAAAAAAATAACAACAAAAAAAACAAAAAAAAAACTGAGAGGGTAGTGGATGCATGGAATAGCCTTCCAGCTGAAGTGGTAGAGGTTAACACACTAAAGGAGTTTAAGCATAAGGCTATCCTAACTATAAGATAAGACTAGGGACTAATGAAAGTATTTAGAAAATTGGGCAGACTAGATGGGCTGAATGGTTCTTATCTGCCGTCACATTCTATGTTTCTATGTTTCTATATGGTGAATAGTGGCAACTGCTTTCTTGAATATAACTATTCACATCTACTTTCTTAAAGAATGTACTTGTTTTGAGTAAACCTTCCTCAACATAGATATTAAGATCTAAAAAGTTGACCTGAGTTTTGCAAAAATCGCTAGTAAGAATGATTCCCCAGTCGTTAAGATTTAAATATGCTAAAAAGGAAACTAGGGAGTTCTCATCTCCCTTCCAAATAAAAAATATGTCAGCTTGTGTGTCTCTATAAGGGGGACACTTCCCTTCTTTGGTCCAGGAAGCAGTGGAATTGGAGTAGCACAGACTTAATGTTAAAAAGAGTGCCTAACTTTGGAAACGTAAAGAGGGCCTGTGTCCCCTTAGAACACATCTGCTTGTGAGATCTGAGCCTGTCCTTATCTGGCTCCAACCCATGTAAGCGCATATCAATTATATTTACACTCACATTGTCTTTATCTAAAATACTACACTATATTGTATTTTCTTATTTATCTAGCAAACTGCTGTATATTCATTCCAAAATTGCTTTATATTAATTATGTAAGTGACATTTTTTAGAGCTCCACTACTATCACTGGTGATAATTGGTCTCCACTCAGTTTCTCTACATCCACAGTGTCTGTGTGTGTGTGTCTGTCTGTCAGCGATTGAGTGTATCCAGAAATAAATTTACCTTCTTGATCCTGGAGTGTTGCCTGTGTCCTTCTGCTTCTGTGAGTCTTCTGGTGGATTCAGCATTGTCCACCTTTGGCACAGAGCACGTCCACGACAGAGGAAATTTCAGGCGGAACCTGTGTGCAAGGATTCTTATTTTTGTTGTAGTGAGTGAGTGTATGTCTGTCAGTGAGTGTCTGTGCGTGTGTCTGTCTGTATCTGTCTGTCAGTGAGCGTATGCCTGTCAGTGAGTTTCTGTGTGTGTGTCTGCCAGTGAGTGAGTGACATGGATCTTTGCCTACGGCGGCAGAAATCCTTGCACCGGCCCTGTTCACGCCCCACAGGGTGAGTGTTGCATGGTTGGGGGGGATGAGTATCACAGAATTGGAGGGGTTCATGTGATAGAGTGAAAAGGGGCGAGTGTGACAGAGTGATGGAGAATGAGTGTGACAGTGCTAGAGGAAGTGAGTGTAATTGGTTAATATGGCAGAGTGATGGTAGGTAAGTATGGCATGGGTCAGTGACAGGCTTGGGGGAGTTTTTGTGAGTGTGGCAGGGTGAAGGGGGTGACAGTGTGTGTGGTGGGGGGGACAGTTACACCGACACACATGTAAATAAACAAACATACACGGGCACACATGCAGATACACAGACACTTAATGATGAACATTCAGATACACAGAATGGCACTCATACAGAAACAGTGACACACATACAGATACATAGGGCAGACACTGACATACAGATATGCAGACATATAGATACACATGCAGACACACACATAGACACACACACATATACAGATACACACACATACATACACAAACATACATACAAACACACAGACAGACATACAGACACACACATACATACATACACACATACAGACACATCCATACAAACACACACACACATGCATACATACAGACACACATAAATACAGACACACACATACACACACACACAGACACACATACATACACACACACAAGCACACACTCATACAGAGACACAAACACACACACATGCAAAATGTTTTAGTCACCTTCCTGTATCCTACCTTTTAGGTGCAGGAGGGTGACTTTCCCTGGGGTTCCCACTCTGACTCCCTCCTCTCCTCCCTTGCGGCACTCTGTGTAAGCTCGGAGTAAGTGACCAGGGCTGTCACTTACTCCCCGCTCTGACATCATAACTGGGGGCCTGGTCTCGCAGTTAAAGCGCCGCAGCGCTGACCAGGATCCCTGGAAAATCATTGTCATCAGGTGGCCCTAACAGCATGGGCCACCCGATGGGCCCCTGAATGCTCGGCCCCGGCAGTTATACCGCGTGGGCTGGGGCCATGTTACATAGCTGGCAGGCACCACGGCCAGGCGACCCCTGCGACCCCGGTTGTTCCTCCACTGGTTGGGACACAAGGGAGGAGTGGAATTTTGAAGGTGATGATGACCAGGGAGCTTCAAAGAGCATTTTCAGCAACTGATTAAGTTACTGTGGCTAAAATAGAAGAGGAGGTTTAACATCTAGAAAGGCATGCTATAAAGTGAGCAGGAAGCAAGGCTTGTGACTTTTAAATTAGCTGGGGCACCAGACTGGTCACATGCATTTGACTCTGTCTCGTAATGGTTATAATCATGAATAGGAATATGTCTATATGGCACTACCCCCAAAATACGTGGAGGATCCCATATATAGGGAAGAAAATATATAGATGTAATCCTATTCATGAGTAAAATAAATAGGCTATTTTGAGGCTAAACACAAATTACATGTAATATAGAGTTTAGCCTCAAGATGTTGCCAAAGGATTACTTTTAATTTTTGTTTACAGTAAAATGCAATACAAATTAATTCCATAGGAAAAAATAAAATAAATGTAAATTATATATCTATGTATAAAGTCATCAGAAAAAGAAAGTACACCTTCTTTAAATGATATGGTGTTACATATCAAGACATAACAATCATCTGTTCCTTAGCAGGTCTTAAAATTAGGTAAATACATCAGATGAACAACAACACATGGCATTTCATCGTGTCATGATTTATTTAACAAAATAAAGCCAAAATGGAGACACACATAGTACCACATATATATTCAAAAAGTGCAAAGAACAGGGGGTGTGCAGGGAGCTGCACCAGACATGCTTGAGCGGAGATCTGATTGTCAACACTCCCACCTAGATAACGGCATGGGGTGCAAACACAAGAAGTCCCGACGTCCGAATTATCCCGGTATGCCTGACATCAGGATTACTACCTAAGATGGCGACCACCACATACATTGAGGTTGAGGCTGAGGCTGAGGCTGAGGCTGAGGCCTCGGGAGATAGGAGAACGTGGTGTCTAGGGCCTCGAACAGATCAGAGGATGCCTACCAGAAGTCTGAGTCTGAGGAGGACTCTTCCCCATCCACAAAAGGGGACATTAAATGGCTGCTGTGATATTTAAGAAAGGTGTGGAAAAATGACCTCAAGGAAACCCAGGCCGAAAAGGGGCACCATCCAAAAGAGGCTTGATGCAGGTAAAGTGAGGGGCACAGAAAGAGAGACAGCCAGGTGACAGAAACAAAAGGTAAAGTGGAAAATATTACCAACCAGCTTCAAAGGCTGACAAGATCTGTCGCTGTGTTGGAATCTAGACACAAAAGACAGAACAACTGTCTGAGAGGTATTTCAGAGAGGATTGGGGGAGTGGACTTGCTACCGTATGCAAGTGGCCTCCATAGGCATCAAAAGGAATACTGTCCCTTCGCAGGTGATGTCAGCATTCAGAGTCCGTTAAGTGACTGCTGCCCAGAAGAGGCTCTCAGAAACACTATTATTGTCACCGCAAGATCTGCTATTATGGCCCGCTCCAGAGCCTTAGGGACTGTACAACATGAGAGCTGCTTGGTGGCCTTCTATGGAGACCACCCATTCACAGTACTTACAGTAAGGAGACAATAGGCTCCAGTTGCCAGGCTCCCTCATAGTCACAAAGGTTGACAATACACTAAACTTAACCTCCACGGACAACCATGTCTGCAAAAGCTCGACACACACAGCTGCCACAACAAATCTTGAGGGCGATTCAGGAGAAGGAACGTTGAGACCCTGGATCACACAACTAGTGACTAATGTTCGCAGGTTACAGTTTAAAGCGTAAACTCTAGTCTTCCAGTGCACTCCACTACATCACTGTCACAGTACCCTGAGGGATAACACTGGAACCTGGCTGTCTTGTCAAACCTTTGTGATATTCGACTAGAGCAGGAGTTCCCAACCCAGTCCTCAATTACCTCCTACCAGTCCATGATTTAGGGATTACCCTGTTGTGTCTAAAGTGTTTTTTTCCCTTTTTCTAAAAACACCTTACACACAACTGGACAATCTTTCAATCCTGGACTGTCAGGGATTGAGGACTGGGTTAGGAACCACTGGCCTAGATGACAGCCAGTAGTACTGTGATGAACTGAACCTTGTCACGGGTTCTTGGAGGGGCCTGCTGACCAGCCTTTTGCCTCAGAACTATGGCCCCTGGTTCAGGATTGTTAAAAGGCCCTGATCGTGCCTTTTAAATCACCAGGTTCGGTACATGAGATATACCAAACGGATTGTACTTTTGTACGGTTATCGAACAAATTCCCGAACAGTTGGACCATCCGTAAGTGGAGTGTTCAGCTCTTTACCCCTATTAGCACCTCTTAACTGCAACGTTCTAAGTGGTTAGAATGTGCGAACACATGGCATGTGCGAATGTGCGAACACATGGCATGTGCGAATGTGCGAACACATGGCAGCGGCCATCTTTAGCCGTGAACACATAGAGCAGTGTTTGGCCGTCAAGTGCATGGAACTCAAATCAGACAATCGACGGCGCAAACACCACTAGAACTTCCACTTCCATCGAAAATCTGTAAAATGTGTGGGAATTGAATGGCGTTCAGTGGGAGCAAGCACCCAAATGAGGGACATAGACTGAGTGTACACACGAACCATTATGTACTGTACTTTTACTGTATTTTGTACTTCCGAAAGAGACCGACCGCACAGCCTGATTTCATGGAACTCTTTTGGGC